GGGGGGGGGGGAAGGAGGGTGAGTTGGGGAGGGGGGACACCCCCCGCACCCCCCCCAATCCCATCCACCCCAGGGTGGCTGCTGGGACCCACCTCCCCCAACAGCTGCTCCCGGTGGCCTCTCCAGCACCTGCCCCAAAACTCTACAAAGGCACTTCGTGGCTGCTGGGGGCGGGGGGGGATGTGGAAGCTCAGGAGTGAGGGGTGCTGGTGTCTGTGTGTGTGTCCCCCCCCTCCAGGTTGTCCCCAGTCACATCACGCCACTGCTCCCATCCAGCCCACGGCCCCCCAGGCTCACCAGTGTGTGTGTGTGTGTGTGTGAGAATCAGAGCAAGTTTAGGAGGAGAGAGGAGGGAGGTAGAGGGTTTCTCCCGCGTGTGGCCCCGCTGTCACCCCCATCCCTGCGCCTGCTAGCCCTGCGCCAGGGCTTGGGAGCCACCCTGGGCTGGGGGGTGCACGGAGGCGAGGCAGGGGGCCAGCCGGGTCAGTGGCCATCGCTGCACTGTGCCCCTTGGCCAGGACTTACAATTTCACCCTCCCTGGACCTGTAGCCCCAGTGTCCTGGTCTGGGTGACGCTGTCAGAGGGGAGGAGCAGGGGGGGTCACCCCAAAATCCTGAGGGTGGCTGTGCCCTCCCTGGAGGTGGCTCCATGACCCAGGGTCCTCCCAGACCATCCTTCCCAAACCCCCTCGGCTCGGCCCTTGCTCTGTAATCTTGTTTTTAAATCCTATTTAAAGAAGCTGCTAAAGCGGGGTAACATTCACCATTTTCTTACTAATAATGACGAAAAAATCCTCTGTCTTTAAATCCTTTCAGGAAGCTGCTAAAACAGGGTAACATTCGCCATTTTCTGACTAATAACGAAGAAAAATCATGTCTTTAAATCCTTCAAGGAAGCTACTAAAGCAGGGAAACATTCACCATTTTGTCACTAACAATGAAGAAAAATCCCCGGTCAGAGGGAGCATCTTTACAGGATGCTCCACACCAAGATGTGGAGCTGTTCTGCAGCCCTGGACGCCTTCGGCCACGTCGATGCGGTCTCAGTTTATATAACGAGCTGTCCCCGGAGCTGCCCGGGCCAAGCTTGGTGCCGTGAACACGTCAGACTGGGGAAGAGTTTGGAAAACGGGTGATGGGAGTGAGTCTGCGATGAAAGAATCCCCACCCCTGCTCCAAAAGGGGGATGTGTCAGGGTGTCTGGAACAAAGGAGAGCTGAGAAAGGTTGTGAACTTTTCCTAACGGGAAGTTTTCACGGGTGGGAGCTGTGAGGGGACAGATGCCGGTCACTTAGGAGACATTCGCACACGTCCTGTCCCTGGACCCCCGGGAGCGGAGCTCAGCACCTCCCTCGGCCCGTCCCCTCCTCGGGCAGCTGCAGAGAGCCACGAGGTCGCCCCTCAGGCTCCTGTTCTCCAGCTGACACAAACCCAGAGTCCTGAGCCGCTCCTCAGGGCCCGGCCTTCCAGCCCCTCCCCAGCTCGGGCCGGGCTCCGGACACTGCTCAGGGTGAGGCCGCACCAACACCCGGCTCTTAGCGGGGCGCGTGCCAGGACCAGAGGCCGTGGGCACGAACTGGCCGGAGACCTCCAGAGGCCCCTTCCCTCCTCCACCCTCCTGCCATCCTGTGCCGGTTGTGGCCCTCGGCGGGGACGTCAGCGTGGGGCGCGTGGGGATGAGGGACCCTGCGCTGGGGGGGGTCACATCCACACCCCTCTGGACTCACAATTTCATACTCCCCAGACTTGTAGCCCGTTGTCCTGGGCGCGTTCAAGGACCTTCTCGCCCTTCCCAGACGCTGGGACCCAGCCCCAGACACTGCTCAGGGCGCCGCGGGATAAATCACCTCCTGTGACCAGTTTTCTGTGCCGCGTTTTTGCAGATCTGGCCTACTCAGCGTGGCTTAGAATCTTGTGGGTTTCGGTTGAGGAAGATTTAAAACCACTTTTACATTTTCTAGGTGGGGAGAGACCTGTTGCTTTTACTAAAAAGATGGAATTGTATCCAACAGTTGCCGAATGGTTGTTTTAAACTGAGAGAATGTTTTTGCCTGTGGATTGCCTCCAAGTTGGCGCATTAGAGCATCCTGGTGTATATTTCTCTGTAGAAAACACACAGACGTTGTTTCTTAATTTCAGCTGCAGGTGCAGGAAAGACTCTCACAGCCTGATGTATGAATTCAGTACGCTGTCAGCTGAAGGACCAAGGAATGCATCGGGTGAATCCCCCCCCCACCTCTGAAATACCAGCCACTATCAATCCAGACCCTCTCTGGTCGTTTAAAGCTCATTTGCAATCTCGCAGCATTCCCGGGAGGCTCACAGGACCTTCCGGGTGAGGTGATCCCACCGTGGACATCCTTGACTCCAACAAAGGGGATGTTCCTGGGTTGAAAAGCTGCCCAAAGGCATTGATTGCATTCAGATTAAATGAATCCATGAGCCAGTCGTCTGTTCTATCCCAGCTTGTGAAGGAAGCACCAGGCGCAAGGTGGATGACGCGCAACCCTGTTGTGGAATCCCTCAAATAAGCAAACAGCAACCAAAAAAGTAAAAATTATTTCCAACACAACCAACTAGCACCCTGCAAACGTACAGCGACAGATCTGAATGTCCACCCGAGAACAAAACTATCATCACAGACTTCCCACAGTTTAACGACAACCCAAAACGCTTTGAAACACCCAACCACTGCTTGTGCCTTTTGCCCTGGGGGGCCAGGGCGTCGGCACCCCGTTTATTCGGGATATTTCTTGCTCAAAGCAGAGCTGGTTGCTCCCCATCCACTAAGATTTACCTGCAGGAAGGATTTTGGGGGGTGTGGCTTGAAAGTGTTGCGAGGCTCCGCATCAGAGCTGATGACGTCACTATGGCCATGGTGACATCTCCGGGGCTGCTTATGACATCACAATGGCCACCAGGTATATCTGGAGCTGGGGTGTGCTGGGGGCCATTTGAGCTCCGCTCGCTGAGGCTGCACTGGTGTCCTGGGGCAATCTGAACCCTGCTTACTCTGGAGGGTCGATTGTCCCCAAAAACGATGACTGAAGAGGGGATTAACCCCAGTGGGGGCTGCAACATGATCCTTCCGATGGAGTCACAGGTACCACATCCGGGGCTCTGCCGAGGGGCTGAGCATCCCAGGGGGAAAATTCTCCCTGACATCCCACCGGCATGTCCCCGGCGTGCAGGAGGATGGGCAGGGGGAGATGCTTTGCACCAGGGACGGCTGCTGGGGGCAGGTTGAGCGTTGCTGATTGGAGCGTGGAGGCAAAGTAGTTTCTAAGAGACTTTCCCCGTGTTGCCTGCGGGGCATTTGAAAGTGGCGACTCCCAGATCGCTCCGTTTGCCCTCATCACGCTTGAGCTTGAGTTTTTTAAAATCGCGATTTTATTTAAATTACGATTTTATTTAGATTGAAATGTTATTTAAATCGTGATCTAACTTAATTGCCATTTTATTTAAATTGTGATTTAAAGCGATTTTGTTAATAAGCTCTTTCATCCCATGATTTTTCCAAGGTTGGGGTTTGGTTTTTTTTTTTTGGCAAATCCAGAGGGGAGCAAGATGCGTTTCTCAGAAGGGACAGAGGGTGGTGGAGCTTTGAAGATAAAGCTTTGCCCTTGCAGGCTCTTGAGGGCCTCTGGAGGTTGTTGGTGGCCATGGGCGGTGTAGTAAGTTCTGCGGGTATCACGTTTGGAAATTGGGTGTGATAAGAAGTGCAGGGTTTGGGTTTTTTTTTCTCACCCAGTTTGGAAATCCCTCTGTTTTTAGAAAGGAATGACAAGAAGCAGGAAGTTTGTTTTTTCTGGTCTGAAAGCCAACTCTCTCTCTCCCCCTGTAGTAAATCCTTCCCGACTCGTGTACAATTTAGATGTTATGAGCTGTTTGGGTATGGGAAGAAAAAGCTCCTACAAGTCCATGGTTTTAGGGCTGTGCCTGGAGGAGGCGCACGCAGAGGCCTCATGCTCTCACCGACAACGCACACCGGTCACAAGGATCATACAGTCCATATATTATTCCATCCTGCATATTCATCAGGTATTCATACATAAACACGGGAATTCCTGGGAACCATTATCACACTGCCCTCCCTCTTCCGATTCTGCACGCTGAAGCTTAGCAATCTCTAGAACTGAGTCTGGGGTGTAGTGTGGGTCGGTGGCCCATGAGTCGGTGGTCGCCATCTCCCCTGCCGGAGTTCCCTGTTCCCTGGTTTCACTGTTCGTGGCAGAGCTCTGTGAGCTGTTACAGCTCGCTCTCCCCAGGTCTCATTAATTTCAGGTTGTGGCACATCTGAGCCATTATCCCACGTGTTCTGGGGAATAAATGACTTCTGTGTCTGGACATCTCTCTAACAACTTCAAACAGAATTAGTTTCAATTCTAAATCTAATTCCCTAAGCAGTATCCAGGTGTACCCAGTAAATGATCACTGACCAATCCTTCGGCCTGGGCACAGGCTATACGGAGGAATTCAGAGGAGCATTGGTTTCTGGTTAGATGTGCAAAACGCAAGATACATGTAAACATGTAACCCTACTAAAATATCTCTCATAATTCTGTATTCCTACTGGAATCAAACATTAATTCTGATTGGGGGCAGATCAGTGACAGTACCTTCTTCTCGTTGCTATCCAGAGAGACGACGAGGAGGCAGTCACTGAAATGGGAAGCGCGAACAACGTCATCAACATTGAGGAGGAGGGTTTGGAAGGTGAATCTCTGCACGTGCTGTGCTTCTGAATAAGGCAGCACAGGTCTTTTCACATAGTTTATTATTTTTTTAACAAAGTCCCCATGAAGGCCACGGTGTGAGTTTTAAGTGACCCAGAGCCATCGCTTGTTGGTGCCCTGTTGTTGCAAAGCTCGAGTAAAATAAACCTCAGTAAAAGGGCGGGTCTGTGACATGCAGGGATCCAGTGAAAAACACAAAATTAAGAGAAATTGGTATTTCCTCCTGGGATGGCTGCACTGATTTAACCGTGGTGTCTGCGTCAACCATCCCACAATAGTGAGATCTCTGCCAATTCTGCTTTTTCTCAGGCCACTGGACCCTGTTCATGGGCGTGGAGGCGCCGCCGGCGAGGCAGAGCCAACAGCATCACCCACCCAACAGCCAGAACCCTCAGGAATGGGAGCAGGAGAAGGACTCTGAGCCGGGCAACCACTGTAACCCTTGGTAAGTCTCTGCTGCCGGCTGTGGTAGGAGAGGAGTCCCTGTGCCGCCAGCGCCTGCGGGCTCTGCTTTCTGCTCTGCGGGAGGCGAGGCTTTGCAGCTGCGGGTGCTGCTCTGAGGAGCCTTCTCCATGTGTTCTTCCACAAGAACAGTCTAATTTTTATTGTCCCTTCCTCTAGGCTCTTTGGAGGTTTGATCCAGGATGTGAAGCGGAAAGCCCCGTGGTTCTGGAGCGATTTTCGGGACGGGCTGAGGCTGCAGTGTCTGGCGTCCTTCCTCTTCCTCTACTATGCCTGCATGTCCCTGGTCATCACCTTCGGGGGGCTGCTGGGGGAGGCGACTGACGGCCACATCGTGAGCACCAATCTCTGTTGGGTGGCACGGGGGAGGGTTACACTCGTGCAAAAGTCCTTGCTGCAGTGAATTTGCTTTGGTTTTGTTTTTTTCCATCATGATTTATTCCCTGACCTGCCTCTTCCCTGGACAGAGTGCCATGGAGTCGTTGCTGGGCGCATCCATGACCGGAGTGGTGTATTCCCTCTTTGCCGGCCAACCCCTCGCCATCATCGGCAGCACTGGATCCACGCTTGTTTTCGAGAACCTCCTCTACAAATTCTGCAAGTAAGACTGCCTGCCGCGGCTGGGTGCTGCCAGAGCTGCCACAAGGCAGCAGTGATGGAGAAAAGATGTTTTTCTTCTATTTTTTTTGGTGGTAGTTGTTAGATTTAAGCTGTGTTCTGTGTCCGAGACGTTGCCTGCTGCTGCTTTAGTATGTGATGGCGCAAGAGCCCTCGGCCTCCGAAGGGCGGATGGGGGGTTTGGGGTTTCTAGGGCTGAAGTGCAGCAGCGGGAGGAGGAGAAGCCACAAGAGTGTGGGTGCCCAAGATGGGCTGCACAAGGATGATGAGACAAATCAGTCTGGTTTGGGGAGGAGGGAAGACTTGCTTTTCTCTGAGTGCAAAAGCAGGTGCTTTTTAGCCTGGGTTTTGCTGGGAGATGGAAGATATTTTGCTCAAATATCCAAATAGTTTTCTGATTACACTTAGAGCTTTGATGATTTTATTGAAAATGTAGGAGCTTTGCATGTGAAATGGCTATTTCCACGACAGTCCTTCTGTCGTGGTGACTTTAACATGAGATGTACCACCCTTACTGCAATTAAGTTGATTATTAAGCCCCAGCTTGCTGGTAGCAGGTGACTGGGCAGAGAACCAGCTGGTTCCAGTGTTGGGGCATCAGGGTGATGGGGGAGAACACCACCTTCCACACCAGCTCCATGACCTCAATTAGCCTCCATTAGATAATTGCTAAATGATGATAATGAAATAACTGGTCTCTGCTCCTGCAGCCCCCCCCCGGCACTGCAGCCCCGAGGCTGGCTGTGGTAGCACACGGCAACTGCGTTTACCCTCCGCAGCCTTGACGGACTCCTAAATTGTTCCCAGTTTCGCCCTTCGCGGGAAGGCCGGGCTCGGAGCCTCGTGCTGCCCTTCCCACCCTTGGTGTCATTTTGGTTTCCCAGGGAGTACGCGCTCTCCTATCTCTCTCTGCGGGCGTGCATCGGGCTGTGGACCGCCTTCTTCTGCATAGTGCTGGTGGCCACCAACGCCAGCTCTCTGGAGTGCTACATCACCCGCTTCACCAACGAAGCCTTCACCTCCCTCATCTGCCTCATCTTCATCTACAAGGCTCTGGAGAAGCTGAGTCAGCTGCTGGAGATCTACCGTGTGCACATGCACAGCAAGCTCGACTTGCTCACCACCAACAAGTGGGTTTTTCCTCCTAAAACACGGCTGCGCCTTGGCAGGAGCTCAGGGCTGCACCTCCGCCGCCATCCCCTGACCCCTCTCTTGGCTTCTCTCCTCCCAGCTGTAAGTGTGAGGCACCGACCCATCCCAGCAACGAAACCCTGCGCTTCTGGGAGAGCAACAAGATCAGTGTGTCCAGCATCGCCTGGGAAAACCTCACAGTGTCTGTAAGTGCCCCGAGCCACTGCTTCCTCATCCTGCGGCCATGGGGTCCAGAGGAATTTGCATGGTGCAAAAGTCAGAGCCCTTCAGGTGATGATGGGCTTCAAACCGGGCTAGTGCTGCTCTGAAAAGCCATTGCTTAAATCTCCTGTGTGGTTTTAAGCCATTTGGTCCTGGAAAGGAGAGTCCACCTGTTCCAGCCCACCTTGTCCCCATCAGAATGGGAAATTAATGTCCTCAACCCTGTTGCCAGACAATATTTTTGACAGGGAGCAAGATTAAGTGGCTGCTTTAATTCTTGTGGCAGTTGGAGGACTTAAGTTCAATCTTGAAGGGAGTAACTGGCTTTCTTAATTGGTTCCTACTATCTCCAGAGCTTGCTCCTTTATTCAGTGCTGTCTGCAAGTATGTGCATAAATGTTCATGTCTGAGCAGCTCTTGGGCTGTTGCTGCTGGAAGCTGAGCCCAGGCATAGGATGGGAGGCTCCTCTGGATATCTTCATCGCCTCTTGGCCAGGTTCTGCGAGGCCTCCACTGGGAAGGGACGATTTGTCTCTTCTCGTTTCCTGCCATGGTTGTCTTAGAGCTCCTTCCCCGTTCCCTCTTTCTCTGTCTCCAAGAGTTTCCAGCGTTTCCTTCCCCTCTGGTGTCCTCTTCAGCCATGGCTGCCTGCCGTTCTGGGGGAGGATGTGCCCTGGCTCTGTGTTATGGGGGCCCATCACATCCCATCTCTCCGCTCTCCTCTCTGCAGTTCCCTGTGTCACTCGTTCAGCTGCTGCTGCTCTTTCACTATAAATCTCCAGGAGCAGCAGCAGTCACAGGGTCATGGACCTTGGACCACGATCCTCCAATCCCGCTCATTACCCGAGGTTTCCTTGCCGCACGTGCACAGCCTTTGTGTCCTGACGCTCTGTTTCTCCAGGAATGTCGGTATTTGCACGGAGAGTTTCAAGGACCTGCCTGCGGACACAACGGCCCTTACGCGCCCAATGTCCTCTTCTGGTGCTGCATCCTCTTCTTCTTCACCTTTGTGCTGTTGACCTTATTGCAGAAGTTTAAAACCATCCATTACTTCCCAACCAGGGTAAGCAGAAGATGGTGGCCCGCAGCAGTCCCCACGCTCATGGTGATTTTTTGCTCAGGCAGTGGGAGATCAGGTCTTCCAAAGTGTTGGGGTTTTCCCACCTTCTGTGCATCATGTGCTCAAGGGGCAAGTTGGCTCAAATGAGGAACAAATGGTGCCTCGGTGCCTTATTCCCATTTTAGCAGTGAGCGTGGCTGTAGTGGCAGCCTGTTCCCTTATTTATTTATTTTTTCAGAGGTCTGAGCTCAAACAGCCCTTTTCCACCCAATTAAGCACCAGATCTCCCAGGGACAAACACAGCAGCAGCACCTAACCAAGGGATGTGGCTGCATGCCTGCAGAGGGGGGGGGTGGTGGGGTGTTAACCCGCCCTCACGTTGTTGATGTCCCCAACTCTTCCACCTCGCGTTGGGGCCCCGTTTGCGATGCCCCTCTCAGTCTGGTTTCTTGCCCCAGGTACGGTCCACAGTAAGTGACTTTGCTGGTTTCCTCACCATCGTCATCATGGTGCTCATGGACTTCATGGCTGGGATCCCGTCCCCGAAGCTCCACATCCCCCATATGTTCAAGGTAACGGGGGGGTTGGCACGGAGCTGGTTTCAGCTCTTGGGGATGCCCCAAGGGGATGTCGGGGCAGGACAGGGCTGAGCCTGGAGGAGGTGCTGGTGGTGTGACCATCTCTTCTTCCACCTCCGAACGCGTCGTTTCCTTCTGGAAATGAGAAGGCAGCCCCAGACTAGATACCTGCAGAAGTATCTGTAGGTGCTTGCACAGAGGACACTGGCACTGCTGAACCCCCGGGAGAGGGTGACGTGGAGCCAGGGCTGGGAGATGCTCTGACACAGGCAGGGAGGGAAAATCAAAGCCAGCGAAGGGGCTGGGCTGGGAGACAATGCTGAGATGTGATGCTTTGTTGCAGCCTACCAGAGACGACCGCGGATGGTTCATCAACCCCATAGGACCAAACCCTTGGTGGACGGTGTTGGCTGCGCTCATCCCAGCTCTGCTCTGCACCATCTTGATCTTCATGGACCAGCAGATCACCTCCATTAGTGTGGACGGGAAGGAGCAAAGGCTGAAGGTACGGGGCTGCAAGAGATGACCCCACCCCCAGCCCACTCCGGGCTGCAGGGATGGGGAGAAGCTCCTATTCCAAATGCTTTGTGAAGGCCTTGCTTTGGAACAGCGTCAGGCTGCGGGGCAGGATGCTCTCTTGAATTCCTGGTGACGCAGGGAGCAAATGGCAGGGGAGTTCAGATGAGCGATCTTTTGGAGCCCCAGAGTAATCTTAGAGCAATATAGAAGCGTGGTTTTGTTTTAAAATGTCAGCAGCGGCTGGGGGAAGGAATTGTTTTGATGCGCTGCCAGGGGTAACTCAGAGTCACATCTTTCTTTATGAATGAACAAAACAGTCTCTCCAAATCCACTTTGAACTCCTGCCAGATTTGGCTGCAGGTGCTTGTGCAGAGGCTGGCTACATCCTTAGTCGTTTCCAATTGTTTTAAATTCTCAAGAAGTTGGCTTGTGCTCAAGTAGGGTTTGAGCCTGACTTGTGACGTTGTCCTTGCTCTTGTGCCGCGGGATGCTTTATCTCTTGTTTTGCTCCCTGCAGAAAGGATGCGGGTACCACCTGGACCTTTTCATCTTGGCCGTGATGTTCGGGGTCTGCTCCGTGATGGGGCTGCCCTGGTTTGTGGCTTCGACCATCCTGTCCATCACCCACGTGAACAGCCTCAAAGTAGAGTCCGAGTGCTCAGCTCCAGGAGAACAACCCAAGTTTCTGGGGATCCGAGAGCAGAGGGTCACGGGCTTGATGATCTTTGTGCTCATGGGCTGCTCCGTCTTCTTCACTTCTCTGCTAAAGGTGAGAGGAAATCGCAGAACACCCAACGACCGCGGGCTTTTTGGGGGTTATGCACAAGTAGTCCCCTCTCCGCAGGGCTGAGCGGTTGTGGAGCGGAGGAGGAGGGGATCCCACACCTTGGGGCTTGACCCGCGGGGGGAACCAGCCTCGGTCAGGCTTTCCAGCCCTTCAGAGCCCCGTTTGCTGAGCTCGAGGCAAGCGAGCAACGCAGCGGCTTTAACTTTCAGGCCCACCCGTGTTTGTGGGTTGCAGCTGAGTGTATTCAGAGCAGGACGTCCGCTCTCTTTCGAACAGGCAGCACTTCACTGGTTGCAGTTTGCTGCCCCCAGTGCCCCAGAACTGCCGTTCCCAGTAGCTGAACACATCGTCCCCAGGGGGTTCCTCACACAAAGGGATCTCCTCTCCAGGCTGAAAGCAGGCACGTTGCTTTTGCACGTTGCCCCAAGACTATGTAGAAACAGAACATGGCATAGGTTAGCACGGGTGAAATCCCCTCTTTTCCTCCAAACTTGCCAGAAAAGAGGATTATTCTGATGGAAGGGAACACCAAGGTTCAGCCTAAAGCAGAGCATGAGCTCACTCGCACGCAGAGTCTCTGAGGGGGAGAACCCGACACACCTGTAACCCTGTGGGAAGTGGAAAGCTTGAGGCAATTTTAGGCAGTGCCTGTAGAAGAGAGGGGTAATTCTGAAAATGCCATTTAACCCCCAAACATTGTGTTCTCTGGTTTCAGTTTATACCAATGCCGGTGCTTTACGGCGTCTTTCTCTACATGGGCGTGTCGTCGCTCAGAGGCATTCAGGTACGGACTCTCGTGCAGCGTGTCGGCTCCCTGGTGTTCCACCTCGTGAAAATGGGGGAATTCAGGGCCAAGGAAAGGCAGTTTCTCCCACTGGTGGAAATCCTTGCTGCGGGGGCGGGATTCCGTGGGCCAGGAAAGGCTGTTAATAGACCAACGTGGAATAACGGCAGTTTGGTGGGCAGCCCTCATGGGAAGCGGGTTTATAGCTGGAGTGAAGGGAAAGTGGGGGCTGCTCCCAGGAGGAGCACAGTGGGATCCAGGATTTCTCATTGCATGCGAGGTCCTGAAAACTCCCCCCACGTCTCAACAGGGACAGAAACTTCCTGCAGTCCCAAGGTGGCCACTTCTCACTTTTATTTTGCAGTTCTTTGACCGCCTGAAGCTGTTCTGGACGCCGGAGAAACACCAGCCGGATTTCATCTACCTGCGGCACGTCCCCTTGCGAAAGGTGCATCTCTTCACCGTGATCCAGCTGATCTGCCTCGTCCTGCTCTGGGCCATCAGGGTGTCCCCTGCCGCTGCCATCTTCCCCATGATGGTAAGAGCCGGTGCCGCTGGGCAGCGGGATGTTTGCAGCGCTGGAGGGAGATGGAGCCTCAGCTCTGGCCTCACCGCATCTTCCATCTTATTTGTGAAGGTTTTGGCTCTCGTTTTTGTCCGGAAGATGATGGAATTCTGCTTCTCGAAGCAGGAGCTCAGATTTCTGGATGACATTGTGCCAGAAGGAGAGTTGGATGATGCCAAGAATGAACATGAAGGAGAAGAGGTAAGGCTTGCTGGGTGCTCGGGGCTGGACATCACCCTTGGGCTGTGAGATCGCCTGTTTCTATCACAGCTTGTCTTTCAGCTCCTTGGGGAAATGGATTAAGGGATCAGGGGCACAAATTGTGTTCTCTTTTATCCCTTCAGTTGTCGGGATTGGCGAAGACGAATACAGGAGAGCTCAACAGATAAACTTGAGGCTCCAAGAATGCTGCTTGGATGAGCAGCATCTGTCAGAGCTTCGGATGTTTCAATCGTGGGTTTGTATACAAGACGCCAGACCTTTTGCCATCAGATGGGATGCACCTGTCCCAGAGGGGGAAGAAGATGTTGGGGCAGGAGTTATCTGGGCTCACTGACGGAGCTTTAAACTGGATTTGAAGGGAGAAGGGGGCAAAGCGCCAGCCCATCTGAAATGCATCTATACCAATGCACACAGCACGGGTAACAAACAGGAGGAGCTTGAAGCCGTGATGAAACAGGAAAATTACGGTGTCGTGGCTATTACAGAAACATGGTGGGATGTCTCCCATGACTGGACTGCACCAGTTGATAGCTACAAGCTCTTTAGGAGGGACAGACAAGGAGGAAGAAGTGGTTGGGGTGGAGCTGTATGTTTGGGACTTTGAGCACAAGTGTAGTGAAGACACATTGGAGTATCTTTGCGTTAGAATCAGGGGAAAGGCCAACAACGCAAACGTTGTAGTAGGAGTCTACTATAGGCCGCCCAACCAGGACAGAGAGGTGCCTATATAGGCATTGAGAAGAAATCTCACAATTGCTTGCCCTTGTAGGAGACTTTAACTTCCCAGATATCTGCTGGAAATACAACACATCAGAGCGGGACCAGTCCTGAAGATTCCTGGAATGTGCGGGAGACAAATTCCTGACGCAACTGGTGAGTGAACCGACCAGAGAAGGTGCCCTGCTGGATCTCCTCTTTGTCAACAGAGAAGAACTGGTAGAGGTTGTGGTGGCTGGAGGCCGCCCAGGGCACAGCGGTCATGAAATAATAGTGTTCTCTATTCTTATGGAGGCCAGGAGAGGAGGAAGGAGAACTGTCATCCTGGACTTCCAAAGGCCTGACGTTTTGTTTGGGCACCTGCTTGGCAAGATCCCTTGGGAGACGATCCTGAAGGGTACAGGGGCCCAGGAAGGCTGGGCGCTCCTCAAGAAAGAAGTCTTAATGCCTCAGGGGTGGGCGGTCCCCAGGTGCTCTAAGAGAAGCCGGCACCAGAGAAGCCCACCCTGGCTGAACAGGGAGCTTTGGCTGCAACTCGGGGAGAAAAGGCGAGTTTACAGCCTTTGGAAAATATGGGAAAATAAATGGGAATATAATGGGAAAATAATAAAAGTCTTGTTTGTCTCACTGTGCGGCTCCCGTGACTTCTGAGGGGTGGGGGGGGAGTTGGAGGTTTTAAAGGGGGGTTTTGGAGGTGAGGGGGGAGTTGGCAGCGCTGCATTGGGGGAAACCCTGGGGTTTGGTTCAGGAACCAGCTGACTGGGGAAATATTTGAGATTAGTGGCTTTGGATTTGTATTTATGTAGGTGGGTTTTTCATTTATATGTGCAAGTAATTACAATGAGCTCTGCGTTGCAGGCAGGAGGGGATACCAGTGTCTCATGTGTCACCTCTGCCAGACCAAGGGTGTGCAGGGAGTTCAGAAATGGGACTGGGTGAGGGTGAGGGTGCTGGTGAAAGATAGAAATGGCCCCATCCAGTGAGCAGTTCCTCCTCCCTGCATTTTCTGGGGACTTTTTGAGCCATTTGCCATACAATTAATTGGCAATAAATTAAATCCAAAGAGGTTCTAGTTATCTTTCATATAGTATTTTTTAAAAAAATTATTTCAAAATCCCCTCTGGCACAGGTCTGTGGGGTCAAGCAGGTGCATCCTGATTGCCCTTTTCTGTAAAACTCGAGGATTTGAGAGAAAAATGAGGCACTTGAGCCAAGCCAGGGTTAGAGGCTGGTGCTTTGAAAGCCCATGGAATCTCAATGGGGTGCTCAGAAGGGTTGGAGATGTCAGGATCCAGCTGCTGGATGTAGTGAAGGTTTAATCACACTTTAGGGAAAGCTGCAGGATCTGCAGCACCATGGGAGCAGTTATAGAGAAAACGAAGGTGGAGAAATCCAAGTTTCAAGGGAAGGCTGATCCGTGGGGGGCAGATTTTAGGAGAGGGTGACTGGGAAACCCCAACTGAGTTAACGTGGCTGTGTGTGATGGATAAATCCTTCCTGTGGGGCATCTGACAGTGGCAGCTGTGGAGGGGTCCCACATCCCCGGGCTGATGCTACTGGAAAGCCGATGCCTTGATTTGCCATTTAATTGTATCTTATAATTAACAAACACACAGACAAACACCAAAAAGCCTCAAGGAAGAGAAACTCCCCCTGTAATCACTTTAGGAGCTTTGAAACAGCAGCGGTGATTTTCTTGTTCACAAAGGAGCAACCACTTTGCTTCGGCAAGACCCAAACATGATAATACCCCCTACAAATGCAAATGCTTCCATCACGTTAACGCTGTAAAACGTCAGAACAAAGCACGGTGAGAACCAAACAGCCTCATCCCACCGTAATCTATTAACACCCACCCCCTCGCGATAGCTGAATTATCCTTATTGCAAATAAACGAGAGGATTCACGTGAGCCAGCAAAAATGAGAAGCAGCTTCAGGCGTAGGGAGTCACGCTCTACCTTTGCACCAAATTGATGGATTTTTGTCTACATTGTGAAAGTACTCATTTATTCCACTTTAATTCCCCGTGTTTGCCCTTTGGGATGAATCACGCGAGCGGTGGGAATGCGGCTGGGAAGGGGATACTGCGGGGCTCCTCCTTCAGGTACCTCTTTGTGGAGCTGCTGAAAGTAAGAAAACAGCTGAGAGAAAACTAAAACTGTATTATCGGTTGGGACTGAGGGATCATGGCGCAGTGGGAGGTTATTTCCCAGCATGGTCCCGTTTCCCTCTCCCCCTTTTTTACCTGAACCGCTTGGTGTTGATGAGCCAGTGCACAAAGTCCTTGGCCTTCATCTTGTCCAGGTAGCGGGTGAAGTCACTGCTGAAGGTGCCTTCCGAGTGCCGCTTGATGTTGGAGGCGAAGCTTTGGGCACTTTGGGATTCGTACGACTGCCGTCTGCTCGGGAGACGAAAATGGGGGAAGAAAATGTGATTTAATGCACGTCGTGGCATGGGGATCCTGCATCCTCCCCGCAGGATTTCCCCAGGGCAGGGGCTGTGTCCTCTAATGGACTTTACTGCATGGAGCATCCTCCAGGAAAGCTGTAATAATCCGTAAAAATACTTTTAGGGGGTTCAGAGGGATCTTCTAAGCCTGGCCAGGGTTGTTCCCGACCCCAGATATATGCAGTATTATCCCACATTATTTGCCCTACGCCTTGCTTGGCTGCAGTGGGTTTGTGCCTCCACCCTGGTCCTGCTTGCTGCCCCTGGGAGGTTCCAGGGTAGTTAGTCCCCCAAGTACTGAACTATAGACATTCCTTAGCCAAGAGCTCCCCAAATATCCCAAACGGGTCGTGCCACCCCGAGGTTTAGATCAACCTCTTCCAGCTCCAGGAGGGAGAGCTGATGTTGAGGTGCCCAAAGGATTTTCCTCCAGGGCTCAGCATCGTCCCGTCATGGCTCTACCCTGCTGCGTCCCCACGCAGCCCGTCTCTGCTCTGACACAGCCGGGAAATCCTGAGAGGCAGACATGGCAATGTCCCCGTGTGGGCTGGTAGAGAGCCAGGAGGGAGCTTGTCCACATAAATAAAAAAGAAACAGGCACATTGTCACGGTGAGGCTGCCCCGGAGCCGGGACAGCCAGCAGCAATGGTGACGGAGAAGGCCGAGCTGCTCCGACAGCCCCTGCCCGCTCCAGCCCACCCCCTGGGCCAGCTCCACCAGCGCCCCATACCTGGACGTGGCGTCCAAGTCCTTGGGGCCCATCTGCCACCCTGCTGGGATCAGCACAGCAAAGCCCAGCCCGGAGAGGTACAGCCACCGGACGATCTGCATCTGTCTGTCTGGAGAAAGCAGAAGTCGAGAGAGAAACATCCAGGGCTGCAATCGCCAGGGATCCCCCTGGAGCCCGTGGCAGTGTGGCACAGGACACATCCAGCGGGGGACAGCCTCCTCCCCGGGTGTCTTGGCAGCATTTTGATGGGCGCAGGTGAAAAGAACATCCTCACAATTCCCTACCGGCACGTCTACCGCTGCCTAGGCACAGGCACACAGCCACAAGATCGGGTTTGTATAACCTCAAGATACGTTTCATTGCAATAAACTTTATCACGAACCTCTCCCTTTGTATCTAGGAGCAAGATTTCTATCTTGAGCTTGTCACCAGGGCGCTGGAGAACTTTCCCAACCATTAGCTGCTCAGAAAAGCAGCTTTCAGAAGAGTTGATTAATTCGAGTTTTAGAGTTCTTCTCTTTGCTGGAGGCATTAGCACTTCAGTGGGGAGTAAAACACCAACCCCATCCCTTTATTTGCTGAAAACCAGACTTCTGATTGCCTATCACCATGCACTTTCATTACTCCAGTTTAATTTCTTCAGAGATTGGTAGTAAGGGAGGGAGGAAAAGGCACCTACCTTCTGCAAAGACAAGCGTTCCCCTAAAAGCAAGATCCTCCTCCAAGCTGGTTGTGGCTAAACTCTTCTCCTTACCAGCGCTTTTAAGCTTGTTAGCAGGATGCTAAAAGCTGACAGGTAGGTCACCGGTACTCCTGGTTTTAGTTGGATGGGTCATTCTGAATCATTACAGGAGTTTTTAAGTGGGGTTGTTGCAAAAAATATAGGTGTTGCCGTATTTTTCAGCTTATGCATTCAGGAAGGTGGTGGTTTTTTTCCTTTTTTTTTTTTTTGTTTCTCTTTTCTAGTTTTTCCACTTCTGGGACCAAAGGAATGACCTTTCGGTTTCTTTCTTTCGGGTGAGGTGACCCCTGATTGCCACAGCGCATCCTGCATGGAGAAATGATTTCTCTGCCCACAGGGCTGCCCTACCAAACACCTCTGGTTTGAGATAAAAAGCATTAAGAAACAAAGCAAGAGCAAAAAAATGTAAAAGAAGCACTTGGGTACCCAAGCACTTGCTGCTGCTTTCTGCAGCGTAAAATTCGGGTGACAGCTCATCAGCTGGACAGATGCCACGTTTGATCCAAGCCTGGTTTTGTCTCCCAAGGCCGGATCTGAAATCGGGACTGTTCACAGTAATTTCCTCAGTTTGGGGATGACAGGACGCACTGTGGGAGGCCGCGGGTCTGCGTCACTCGTTTTCCCCACGGGACATCCAGGTTCAGCCCAGGAGCATCTGGAACTCATTAGGCTGAGGACAATAGTTTTGCAGGGGCGTCTCCTGGGAATTGGGCTCATTTTTTAGAAATCCTCAAGTCCAGCAAAGGAAAAAAGGCTTGAGAAGAGCAAAACCAAGGGTAGCCCTGGAGGAGAGGCTGCTGTCACCTCTGGGTGCACGTGGAGCAAAGCCCTCGGCTCCCTGACGGTGCTGGGAGGCCGGATGAGCTGTTGAGGGCTGCCCCTTCGGAGGGCTGATGGCAGGTTGTGTTTCTGGGGCAGTTTTGAGATATTTGGGGAGCTCTTGGCTAAGGAATGTCTACAGTTCAGTGCTCGCGGGACTAAATGTGCCTTTTTCACAAAGGCATGGTCAATGGGCAGAGAAAAGCCAGTCTTAGGAACCTGGGTCCTGTTCCTCCCCTGCCCAGCACCAACCACCACAAGAGACAAAGGCTCCGAGTCCTGATTTCTCTGTCACTTACTGTCCTCTCCTCCTGGAACCTTTCTTCTTGTGGTTGGGTAATTATTATTATTCTACCAAAGATATTTCTGTAATTATTATCACTGTCAAAATATTGCTGGTGTTCCGGGGACACTCAT